CTCTGTGAAGGGGATTTCAAAAGTATGCAGACCTTTTGTATTCAACATTTATTGTCTTGAAATCTAGAAGTAAAATCATATCACTGGATAGAGTTGCCAGTAAGACTGAGACAAAACATGCTGTTTTGTGTTCCAGATTGAACCGATCTGCCAAGTACCACCTAGAGCAGGATCTGAAGGCAAAATCTGAGGCTCAGTGTATCGACAACTCCTGTGCCTTAATGACCACCCATTCCATCGACAACCTGCAGAAGTCCAAAAACACCAAAACTGTTCTGCCGAGGTGAACTGCCATGCTCTTGTTTACTCCAAAAAAGACAAGAAAATGATATGTTGTCTACGTTTTTAAGACTTTTGGAAATTCAACATTTTTGGATGATTTAAAATCATTGCCAGTGTGTGTCAAGAAGGGGATCAGTTATGTTCTCTTCAAAAGATCTGCGAAGTCTGGAAAAAGTAATTTTGTTTGATCCAGGGCTTCATACGTTTTTAAACCTCTCCCTCTCCCAGCTTGGCGGTGACTCAAAAGCAGTGGGCGAACATCTCAGACATCAACATAGCCAAAGCGGAGCAGCAGAAGAACAACTCTGAGAAACTACGGGCCCTGGTGGAGTCTCTCTTGCAGCAGACGGCCGCAGACATGCAGAAACAGGTCCAGGCCACAACAGCAGCCTTTCAGCTGAACGTCCAGGAGATCAAGTCTGCCAAGGGCCAGATGGAGGATCAACTGCCCGAGGTAGGGCAGACGAGTATATGGTATATATTTGACAGACAGAATGATGTGAAGGGAAAAAAAGTCAGACAGTGGAAGGCAGATATAATAATGAAGTGAGAGAAGGACAATGAATGATTTTTCAAAACAGAAGTGAGTTTTTATTAAAATTCAGATATTAGCTGACCAGAGATGATCCTTTCATTAAGGATGGGTAATAATGTGATGGACTTTTTCAAATGGACTATTGGATTTCATGGGCTCATACTGGAGTCAATACTAATGTTGCTTTAATAGCACATGGTTTAAATGCTGTTTAAGAGGCCTTTCCACCCTGCCAACAGACAAAGAATAAGATTTTTTAACATCAAAACATCACATTGTTTTTTATTTACATAATTAATACACATGAAATGATGTTACTGCCTCTTGTACCATCACATAGCACGCACAAAATGTTTATTTTGCAGTATCTTAAGTACGCTAACAATGTACTGAATTAAGCAAACGTGTGTTTTGTGGTTATTTAATGCAACTTTTTATTTGAAAGAAGAATGTAATATTTCTTCTTTTAAAATATCTATAATCTCGCTGTAAAGTATCGTTCAATTCATCATTGGTGGATATAGAAGTAATTGGCTCTGACTGTGGGTTTAAAGACTTTAGCATGGTAATACTGCTAAGACCGTACAATCTTTAAAGAGTTGCTACACCCAAATTGCAAAAAACGAAACAACCTTTCTCCTAGTCAGGTTTATATAGGCACTATTTCTTTGGTAGAAAGAAATTTATTTAAAAAGTGAGTGAATAATAACGGACTTGAAGTTGCACTATTACTTAACATAAGATAAAATATTAAATGATTATTTTTCGCTGTAATTTCAGTATATTGGTAATTTCATGCTATTCCTTTTTGTCTGCAAGGTGCTTCCTCACTCAGCCAATGTGCAGTTATACATTTCCTTGCTGTGACCAAAAGAACATTCAGCAAATGTGAATGTCTACAATCCTCAGAGATTACTCAATATTGAAGTCTTATGATTCTCTTGCAAGGAAACCTTCAAAACATTCTTAATAAATAAGAAGAACTTCAGTCCAGAGTTCACCAGCCTGAGACATGACCAAAAACATGGAAATACATCTATTTTTTATTCTCAAAACATTTATAGAACTGTTTTGTGTCATAGAAGCAATAGCTTCATGTACTTCTGAATACTGGTTGACCCTGGCGTGACACCTCTATCCCCTCTAGATTCTGTCTGAGCTTGCCAGCCAGCAGAGGGTCAGAGAGGATCTCCAAGTGGCCATCACAGAGAATGAACATGTTCTGAGTTTGGCCCAGGCCCGGCTGGCTTTGCGCCGCCAGAGGCCTGCCAAAGAGCAATGCTACGATCCAGCACAGTCCCAGCTCCTCGCAGAGGTCCAGCAGCTCGGGGCTCACATCACCAAGTAAGCCCAGGACACTTTGATGTAGGGGAGAGCAGGGGCGAAAGTACCATTTTTCAGAAAAACCCGATTTTAAAAGATAATGTTTCAGACAGAGATATATTTTTGCTGTGGTCACTAACTCACAGGTGTGGTCTATCAATTTCAGGTGGTATTTTGTACAAATGTAGAACAACTTCCGTATAATTTCACTTTAAACATAACTGGCACGACCCCATCAGCTGGGACAAAAGTAACACAACAATCCAAGCTAGATTTTTTGTATTTAATAAATAAACATGACTGTGACCTTGTGACTGTGACATCATTTGTCCTTTATCTTTAAAATTTAAATTACATTTTTATTTCAAATATTCAGTTTCAAAAGTAACCTGACAGCCCAAACTTGAAGTTTAGAATATTTCATATTATATTAAGGATATATTATAAATATATAATATAAATATGCAAATGTGTGCACCTAAAACAGGGAGGAATAAAAAAGATAGGACAAAAATGAAAATAAAAAATGAAAAGGTTTTTACAGAATAGGCCTAGGCTATACAAATGTCACATTTTGAGATGAATTTAAATTTTTTTTAGTAAGAACAGTATGAGAGATCTGCATTTCGAGTGCTTTTTACTGACACCTACTACACTGACCTCCTTAGGAGACAGGCCAAAATAAATATCAGCCTCTCTCTTAATATAAGCATGCAGCTTCCGTTCCTAGTCCAAGGAGAAGACTTAATAATGTGATCTGTACCTGTGGTCTGGTCTTCTCCCCAATTATCTCTGCCCTCCTCCTGCATTATCTGAACAAAGCGCATGGCATTTGGCATGAGACTTTATCAGCTGACCTGAGACTAATGTTTCCAATAGAGATGTCCAGAAACACCTTCTCAAACATCTGGCTGAATCACACCTCTGTCTTTCTGACCCACACTATTGGCCTATTCTGTTGGTATAATATGACATGAACATGTTTTAATAAATGCTGCAACACACAGACAAAGTCACCACATTAGCAGCGGGACAAAAGAAACACCTGTGGTTGAAAGTTGTGTGGAAAGTTTAATGATACCTGTGTGGACACAGCTATTACAGCTGCTAGTTTACAGAGGCTATAACCAAGACATCTAGAATATAAATACAAGAAATGAGAAGATTTCAATCATGATGATAATGTTTTTTTAACATAGTGTATATGACAGCGTAATGAAGGTTTTGTAGAAAAAGAAAACACAGAAAGTAGAAAGTACCTACCATGTTGTTAGTGGCTGATTTGGACGGATGCATAGATGTGATGACATATTGATCTCCTGTTTTCTATCACCGTTCTCATCATGTTAGCTGATGTAATGTTTACAGATGTAACCACTTGGTCATCATGTGGCATGTCTTTATCTCTGTACTCTCAGACTGCATGAGGCAGTGGCCCAGTCAGAGAAGGAGCAGAGGGCTCTGGTCCGCTGCCAGCTGGAGCTGCAGGAAAACATGGAGATCAAGGCCAACTCTCTCTACATTGACGAGGTCATCTGCGCCCAGCACAGGGAAACCATTATCATACATAACTTCTGAAAGGTCCACCTATACCAAGTATTACTTTCAAAATGCAGTTGTATTAAAATTCTCTTTAAAATATGTGTGTAGATTTAGTTCTCTTTTATATGGTCTAAACATTTTGTTTCCTTTATTTAAGGTCTTCAGTCTGAGAGCTGTATGATTTTGTGTTTTTAGTGCTGTCTGATAAATTACACTTGTTCCAAGGCTATGAGTTGGTCTGAGGCCCTCATGAATTTTACCTAAAATCCATAATCAGTTTTTATTTTCAAAAATGATCTGTGGATGATAATTACACACTTGTCTGTGTTGTTGCATTTCAGACTGAATCAAATTTATAAAATATCTCTATATTTCACTTAATGATTTGTAATGTGGCAGAAGCTGCAAAAAGTAACCAGTGAAAAGATGACCTGGAACCGGCTGCACCTGCAGTTGTGCATGCAAAGTGTAGATTTACACGGCACTTAATTCTAGTTCTTACATAGAGATTAACTATAACTACATATTTATACCCACTAACTGACAGGTAAACTGTTGCGTAGTTAGCTGGCTAAAATATTACTTGCTTAACTAGACTGATGAGTAAAAGATTAAATATCGTTAATATCGACATATCAGACTGTTAACAAAATGGCATTTGATAACAATTTAAACTTGGTTAGCAAGGACATTTCACAAAGACAACGCGATATACCATCCATCCATCCATCCATCATCAACTGCTCAGGTCCATCGCAGGGCCACACTCACATCCACACACATTTCAGGACAATTTCAGAGATACCAATTGTCTTTGGATGGTGGGAGGAAGCCAGAGAACCTACACGGATGCGGGGAGAACATGCAAAACGTAATGCTAACAACATTAGCTTAAATAACATTGGCCATGTTAGCTTAATCTGATATTGCCCTCTTACTCTAAATACACTATTACCTTTTCTACTACTAACACAGGACCAGGTATAGACCAAGATAATTACACACTTGGATTTTGTTTCTGCTGTATGTTAATTTGTATTAACAGATTTTGACGGAGAGACAGGAGTCTGTGTGTGTGTGTACCTGGACTGACTGCATATTTGAACATGACGAGAGATTTGACAGGCAGAAAGGCAGAGTGAAGAACGTTAACCAAGGCAGGGCCTGTTAGAGCTTTGTGTTACCTGTTATGTGTGATTTTAATAAAGAGTCAGTCAGGCAGGGCAGAAATAATATTATATAGGCCCAGCCACAACCACTGCCAGTACTGTAAACAGTTTATGTTTGAACATGCTATTCATTGATTTAGACAGAGACATTTAACAGTTTGGTATTTGTATTTAACAAAAGGAACATCACAAAGTCATAAGGAGTGTCAGAAGTTAAAAAAAACAAAACACTTTCTTAAAACTACAAAGAAAATGTTAACTTTCATTTAAACATTAAATAAATCCTAAATTGGCCTATAACAAAACTACATTTCAACAGCCCAAATACACGTCTTCCAGCCCCTGACCATTTTGATCAAAGGTCTCTCAAGCAGCATTTCCATTCAGAGGAGCTCTCGCTTTATTTCAGGAGAAGGTGGATTTGGCACTTCGCCTAAAAACAAAGGGGAGAGGGGGAAACGCTTAACATAGGAACCTTTCAACAACGTATACACAACTCTTGTGTGACGCGGGAATGTTACCTGATGCCACTGTAGTGTGCAGAGGGGCAGGGCCAGATGACAGTGGGGGCAGGTGTTGATCTGGTGTGGGTCATCTGCATCACCCCAGGGACCACCGCTGGGTCTGCCTGACTGGGAGCTTGCCTTAAAATTGCGGCTTAGCCAGGGCGTGGCCCCCTGTCTGGAGAAATCAACGTCATCCTCCCTTTTTTCCACCTGTGAATTAGCCTCTTCATCTTCCCACGTGGCTGCTGATACACACTTCAGCTGGTTTGGGGGATACAGACAAAGGTATTACTTTAATGAGTGCTTGTTGAAAAAGGCTGTATAGTGGACGTGGGCTTAAAGCGAGACAATGACACTTCTCTTGCAAATTAAAAGCTGAATTACTACGCAGTGAAACACACGTTTGTTCAATTCAATACATTCAGGAATTTTACTGCTATAGCCTTACCTGGTCTGATGTGAGCATAGACTGTATGAAAGTAGTAGCCACAGGCTACGGGTCTGAAAAGGGAGGCCAATGCTAAATGCCTTAAACCTGCATTCTTTCTAATAGCCAGTAGTGGGCGATTGTATAGAAGTCTATGAGAAAATTACTCCACTTCCCACTCTCCTAATGACTTTATGGTCTCAATCGCAAATTTCAAGTCTTCTTCAATACAGCATAACGTTCATTTAGTGAATTATTTTCCCATCTATCGGAAATTAGACGATGAAGCAGGGCGTGGCTACCTTGTGAGTGACAAGGCATCAGGTGTAGCAATGCGTATCTCTCCCCAGCTCCACCCTCTTGTCCAAATATGGTTCCAAAAAAAACAAGATTGCGACGGCCAAAATACCAAACCCGATGCTTCAAAAACAGTAATCGGCAAACCAACACTTCTTTTACACAGTCTATGGGTGTGACTTTTTTACTGAAAACGTGCGAGTAAACCAAACAGCTAGCCAGACAGCTAAACAATGAGCTAAAACTCACTGTATCTCTCTCTCCCTCTCACATTATCACATTATCTTCACATTTTCGTTTGACCCATTATTTTTATAAAAACAGTGATTTTAGCCACTTAATCCAACAGATGTTGACAACAATTTGCATGACATGTTACTGTCATTCTTATGTGCGCTCATCATTTTCTGCTTGCACAGATCACATACCTCATGTTCATCTTTATCCTCAGCTGGAAAAGATGCCATACATCTGCGGCACTGCATTGTTATTTTTGCTGTGAAAAGAAAACCGCCGTGGTAATAGTTAAAGAGAATACCCATAGTAATAGTTAGATTTAAAAAGTATTCTGGAAGTCAACAGCCTACACGCACTTACTCTTGTTTGGAGGTGGTTTGCTGGTAGCTTGAGGAGGACCTGAGCCATTGCCAGCGGCTGAGCAGGTCAAGCCGTGCTCTGGCAGGTCCCTCAGGGTGACGTAGCGGCCACAGTCCCTGCAGAGCTCGGTGCGACTCCCGCAGACCAGATGGTGTGCAGCCAGGTCCTTCCATGGCAGCTCCAGCTCGCAGAACTGGCAGCTCTGCAGACGCTCCACACACTCATCAGACTGGGAGACAGAGGAGAGTCAGACCCAGGGTACATATTAACCCATACTTAGCATCTGTCAAAGCTAATATCAGCCAGTGTTACTCCTTCGGAAGCGTTTCCACATTACCAAGAATAAAGGTAAAATTATTACTAAATATTTGCTATTCTAACTTTTAGTCCCTAGTGTGGCTTAAGCTTTTTTTCTCCCCATAATGCAACAAGATCTGTCTTTTATTACAGCCCCTACCTGCCTGGAAAACCTACATCTTTCAAACTCCATGTCCCCTGTTTGTAACGCTACCACAGACTGTATGCGCTACGCAGGTCAACAAATTGTGGTGTCCAATGTGACATAACCCTAGTGACATCACTGTGACATCCTCGTTGTCTTTATTTTCTCTCTCTCTCTCTCAATAGTAAAATGTTTTTGCTTATACTATTGGTTAATGGAAACAAATGAAAATAAACAAATAATAATGCGTGTTACGTTAGAGATGTTTTCCTTTTATTTCGTTGTCCAACCTTGTGTTGTATAATGATAAATAAATCCCCTTGCTACCTTGATATGCTGTACAATAATATACTATACATTTGGTCCACGCTAACAGTACCACTGGGCCTACCTCATGATCCATTAGGTACCGACGCTCCATCTTCTGGTTACACTTGGAGCATCTCACCTGCAAACAAGCACAGGTGTAAACCTACAGAGAATACACTGTCAGGTGGTGTATGTGTGTTTGTTTGTGTGTATACCTGGGTGTGCTGCTCCTCCCTGTGTTGGTTCAGTAGGTCTCTGGGAACTGCTTCATCACAGTCAGGACAGAGACATAAGAAGCGGCTGCAGTGCATTTCATGCAGAGCGTAGTTGGTCTCTGCAACCTCTCTGTGGCTTTAAGAGAGAGGGAGAGGTTTCAATAAAACTGTCCTGAAATAAGATATAGTAAGCAACTGAATATATACAGTGAGAACTTTATAAGAGGGGTGGGGTCAGAAAAGGGGGAGGATTATGTATTTTTCTTTTCGCTGAAGGATTGTCAGTTTTGAGAAAGACAAAATATTTTACATTTTTTATTATTATTTAAAATACACCTGGATCTTACAGTTTTTCGCTAAAACACAAAACCTAAACCCTTACCTCCTTCCCAAAAACACAAATACATTTTCTATAACCTTAAACACTGTTCACCTGTTTCACTATTCCAAACTTTTTCTACAAAACCATACCCAAAAGTGGCCAAATAAATTATTCATTGCGCTAGATACTCATTCAGCAAACACATGCTCTCAATATAAGTCATCACAACCTAAACTCCTTTCCCCAGGTGCAAACACTTAGCCTCAAACTTGTTAATCAGAATTACAGGATCAATGAATAGGGTCAAGAGCCATGTCTGTGTACTTTGTACCTTACAATGCTAAAGTTGCAATACAGCAGAGGAAGAGGAAAACAAGGACAACAATAAAGACAAGTAATCGCTTATTAAATTGTGCCACCATAGTTTATCATGTTGTCTGTGGGCCAATGTTTGAATTGGACCCTGGAGTTGGAAAGTTAGATGTTTGTACCGTTGGGTGTGGTTCAAAAATTGTGTGTAAAGATTTAAGAAAATGATGATTGATTCCAGGAACTGTACAGCAGTTGAGAAAAACTATAATAGATATTAGTGATTTTAATGTTATAGGTGTTCGCTCCTTCTCTGTAGTCTGCATGATAACAGAAGTGTTTGCCCATAGTATACTTCAAATTCAGCCTTTTGTTTAGAATGTCTGTATCAGAACAGAGAGAATTATTGCCATAAAGGTGGATATTGTTAATTTCCCTTGTAATTTGAACATTGGTGGCTACTGTGAAATGTTTTATGGAATTAATAGCCTATATAGGCTATTTAACATAGGCATTTATTAACTTTAACAGCATGACTCGTCGTCCAAGACACATCACAGATAAAACTGAGATCAAACTAATGTATCAGTAACGTTAGCATGTGTCCCATTGGTAAACAATCGACTAAGGTCAGGTCGTGTGTCCCCTGTCATAAAATGAGCCTGATTCTAAAAATAGGTAGCCCGAAAGCGAAAGGCAACTTAACTAAGATATTTACAGGCAGGCCTAGAATGACAGGACTTCCTATTTCTTACAAATTATCTTCGTAGGTTAACCTACATAATGCACCAAGCAGGACTGTCGCTACGCGTTAGCCTACATACCACGTTCCTTACATCTAATTCTGTGCTGAACTATGACCGGTGTGTGACACGAACGTTAGCTGCCAGTGACCAAAACAAACTCTGACAACCAGATTTTTAAAGTAACTTGGTGTGTCCTCCTCCCGACAAACCCACACAAGGTTAACTCTTACCATTGGCCGCAGGTGCGCGTGGCTTCCTCCTTCTCCATTGAAAGAAATCTTTAAAGATCCACGGACAGAAAAACACTGACCTGGAGTTTCTTACTTGACACGTTCGTTTCCATTCACCAGAACAGAAAGTGAAATAATCTGTACCCCCGCGTGCTGTTCGTACGCATCTCCCGCAAGGTGGCGCCTAAGTTCTCCTATAATGGTTTCTTCAGGTTTCAGTCTACTCTGGGATCGACTCTGACCAACCCAGAACTGTGAACCCAGAACCACAGAGAGAGACTTCATTATACTGCGGGAACAGTGTCTTCATGCTAGATATCAGTTATCTAGGCTGTACCAACTAGACACAGGGAGCAGTTAAGAAAACACAGAAAAATGAAAATATGTATACACATACATAATGTCGGGGAGTGAAGGTACAAAAACTGTATGTAATACAATGTGAATTTGTGTAGGCTTAACATATAGGAGTGTGCAGAGCTACATGTGTGATTGATAGTTAGGTTATAGGCTAGGGATTTCTACAGGATAGGGCCTTTGAAGAAGTGTTTCCTGACCTGCACCATTTAGTTTAGCGGTTTCTAGAATAGAATATATAGCCCTATCCAAGTTTGACCTAACTGTATGGTGATCAATCTCAGTTTTTAATAATAACAATACTCCCACCTGTCGATGCAGAGCCAATGACCCATCACTGTTGATTGGGCAGAGAAAGATTTTCAGCCTACTATATGTAAATAACCGAAGAAACCATTGTTTGGTTCATCTAGTCCGGACCAGGTGAAAATGACAAATTGTTGCATTTTTAGCTCTGATCAGATTCATGTTCACACTGACTTTTTTACAAAGGAATTAAGAGGGGCAACCATACAGACTGACGTGACGGTAAGTCGTTTTGGGGGTTGTCCTCCTGCATCACCATTGACAGTCTGATGTGTAGATGTATTTATTTATATTTATTTGGTGTCACAAAGAGCTCAAGAAGAAATAATTAGCATTATTGCATTATTGCTATGCCTATTATTAGACAGTACATACATTAATGATTTAGGGCTTATTACTGTGGGATCACTGTCACACACTTTTTAATAGACTTAATGAACGAACAAATTACACAGAGTACAATATTTTTATTTTTTCAAGTAAAGATTGCATATATGGTTACCAAACAATTTGCATCAATATAGCCTATACATGGTTTATACAGATCAATTATAAGATCACCTCCTGAACAGATTTTACAATCAGCAGATGGATTTATTAATAGTTTAGTTTATGAAATAATACTAAAATCACATATGCTATTGGTTCATTTGTTTTCACATCACAAGCGAATCGCACCAGAGTCCACTTGGAAGCAGACAGAGACCACCGTTTTCAAGCGTTCTAGGTTGTAGAGTAGTAAAAATCTTTACTCAGGTAGCTAAAAGTACAATTACTCCCATAAAAAATACTATTTGACAAACAATTGGCAAAAACTATAAAAGTACTTGGTCAATAAATGACTCAAAGTACAAGTTATTTTGCTGCGCACCATCTGCATTTGTAAGACGCACAGCCATGCCAGCGACACTTCAAAATCAAATGTGCGTATACATAGCTTTACAGCAAAAACTGAATACTAAAATCATACCTCATCTGTGATGGTTTTCAAGTATGAGCTGGTGGTCTGAAATCAAAATAAGGATTCCTCTCCTTACATTTGTGACCTGTGACCACATTCTTTATTTTCTTATTTTCTTAGTACTTTTCAGACTGATCATGCAAAACAATACAGACACAGAAACATCATTCCATGGTTATATGTGATGGCTCCTTGCTCCTCATGCAGGCCATATCACTGGTTTTCAGTCAAACAAAGGCAATATGTAGTTCCCCTTCGAGGGAACTCGAACTGCGTCAGTGACGACACTATGGGAACGCCTCTGGGTGTGGCAGGGCTGAACTATGAATGAAACTACTCCAATCCTATTGGTGTTACTAGAACGGTAGTGTGTGACAGCATAACCGGAGGGGGTATATAAGCACGCCAGCACATAGGACACATTAGACCTTTCTATGAAGCAAGGCACTCCAGGCAGGGTGAGGTGTGGCGGACCGACGCAGTGTCTCATTACCCTTCTCGGGGAACAAGGGTTACATACGTAACCCAAGATGTTCCCCTTCGAGGGAACTCGACCTGCGTCGGTGACGACACTATGGGAATGAGATACCCACTTAGGCCTCAGGCCCCCAGCGTGCAGAACCTGGCGGCACGACTAGGAGGAGAGTGCGCGGGTGCCGGGTGCAGAAGGATGGTACAGACTGTAAAACCGGATAAAAGTGTGAGGGGTGGCCCAGCCAGCCGCGTTACACAAATCCTGGAGTGACGCCCCTGCGAGAATGGCCCCAGAAGCCGCCATGCCTCGAGTAGTGTGCGCCCTTACGGCCATAGGTGAAGGCAAACCGCGCACCTGATAGGCCAGGGAAATAGTCTGAACGATCCAGTTGCTGATGGTGTGTTTAGAAGCGGGGAGCCCAGCCTCGGGGGACCCGAAACACACCAGCAACTGGTCTGCTTTCCTCCACCGGGAAGACCTCAGAGTGTAAATACTCAGATGAAGTCTCCCGTCCTCCGCCGTCACATGAGGTGGGGGATGAAACGCCTGCAGCACCGTGGACCCTGCCAGTCTGGCCGGAACCTTAGGGACATAACCTGGACAAGGGTGCAGGATGACCCTGACCCTCCCCGGAGAAAACTCCAGGCATCGGGGAGAAACCGAAAGTGCCTGGAGATCCCCCACCCTCCTCAGAGAGGTGATAGCAAGGAGAAAGGTCATCTTAAGGGTCAGGTGCTTGGCCTCAGCCGACTCCAGGGGTTCGAAGGGGGCCTCAGCCAGCGCTTCGAGAACTACTGCCAGGTCCCAGGTGGGAACCCTGGAACGAGTCACGAGTCTCATCCTCCAGGCTCCACGGAGGAAGCGCACGACCGGTGGAAGCCTCCCCAAGGGCCCATCACTCAGAGGGGTGTGGAATGCTGTAATGGCAGCCACATACACTTTGAGCGTGGACGGGGACAGGCCGGCGGAGAAACGTTGCTGGAGGAACTCCAGTATCACAATTACTGAGCAGGTAACTGGGTCCACCGCCCGTTCTCTGCACCAGGTGGTGAACACATTCCACTTTAGGCCGTACATCCTTGAGCAGCGTCTCGACTGCTCCTGTCGTCAGGCCCACCTCTAGGAACTGTGCCCCCTCAGGGGCCAGACCCATAGCTGCCACAGGGCGGGGTGCGGGTGAAAGATCCGGCCCTCCGCCTGGGACAGCAGGTCTCTCCTCAGAGGGACCTGCCAGGGCGGGCCCTCGAGGAGCGATATTAAATCCGAGAACCACACTCGTGCTGGCCAAAACGGGGCTACTAGTAGTAGACTGCTCCAGAACCCCCAGGAGCAGAGTGACTGGGGGAAAACGCATACAGATGCAGCCTCGGCCACGTCTGCACCATGGCATCCAGCCCTAGCAGGGCTGGGGGCGAGAGAGTCCACGTCTATGGGGCCGAAATCTTCGCATAATAACTCCACCACCTCGGGGTGGAGTCTCCATTCCCCAGGCCTCAGCCCCTGTCTCGACAGCAGGTCTGCTCCTTGATTCTGGGTCCCAGGGATGTACATCGCTCTGAGGGACAGCAGTCTCTGCTGGGACCGCAGGAGAATCTGATGTGCCAGTTTGCCACCACTGCCGTATTGTCGGTTCAGACAAGGATGTGGCGACCGAGGAGGGTGGGCAGAAAACTCCTCAGAGCTCTGAAAACTGCCAACATTTCCAGGCAATTTATGTGCCAAGAGAAATGATGCTCCTCCCAGGAGCCTCTCGCGAAGTGGCCGTCCATGACCGCGCCCCATCCCGTGAGTGAGTAATAATTGTTCGGCGACAGATCGCTCCCAACACGGGACCTTGGGACAGGAACCAAGATTTCCTTCGCCAAGCTTCCGCGAAATTCGCCAAGGAGACCAGCCCCTCGGGCTGGTGGCGCCCTGAAGCGGAGGACCGCCAGGGAAGGCTCGCCGTGAGCCCAGTCGTGTTCCGGCTGCCGCCTGCGGCTAGCGCATCCCGAGCGCTGAAGCGGTGGGAGAAACAACGCCTGTTGCTGGAGCCACAATGAGAGAGTGGACCTCGATCGGCCTCTCTCAGGGGAAGGGGGGCAGGGAGGGGGAGGAGGTGGGGGTTGGTGATGGATCCCCCTACTCGAGGTCTTAGGACCTCTTCCCCCGGGCCCGCCGACACATAGAGGTCACACAGAGAGCCAAGTCCGTCGCTCTACGGAGCTCCGTCAGGTCCTCATCAAAGGGACCTCTCCCTACGTCACAGTCCCGAAGGAGATCGGTCTGGTATGCCTGCAAGACAGCCATCGTGTGCAGGCTGGCACCAGCTCGACCCGCTGCCATGTAGGCCTTGCCCACCAAATCGGACGTCATCCGACACGGCTTGGTGGGGAGCGCCGGCGTCCGGAGGGATGAGGCGAGGTTGGGAGAGAGGTAGCTAGCCAGTGCCTCCTCCACTCGTGGCATAGCTCTGTAGCCGTGCTGTCTGATCTCTGTCACGCTGCCATAGTCCAGCTGGGGGGGACGTAGACAGCCGTGCAGAGAAGGGTTTCCACTCCGGCGCGGGGGTGGCACTCAGTGTTGCAGAAACCGCTCGTCTAGTTTGCTGCCAGCCGAAGGCTGCTAAACCTACTACGAGGAGTTGTTGGAAGTGGTGAAGCGGGCTGTGGCCAAGCTGCATATTGATTGGCCACAGCCCACTTCACCACTTCCAACAACTCCTCGTATCCTGGCGAGGGCTGATGACAATTCCGTCTCCCCGAAGTCATTCTCCAAGCTAAGCACATCTAGCTCCTCAGAGCCACGGGGGGAGCGCATCCGACCATCCTCTAGGAAGAGAGCCGCTCGAGACCTCAGCACCCTCAGGGGCAGGGCCTCACAATGGCCCCCTTGAGGGCTGCCTGGGCGTGCGACATCCCCAGGCATGAGACGCACATTCCATGGGTATCACCTTCCGTGATGAAGCGCTGACAGGGAAAGACACACTGTCGGAATTCGACATGATCTGCTGCTTCGTCTCGACTTCAAGTAAGATGATGGAGCTTCCAAACAGCCAGAGTGCCTGCTGAATAGAAAG